CACATTAATCAAAAATGTGATCTTGAGTATTTCATGTTTAAAACTTAATTTTAAAGAAATTATACACAAATAAAAACAAAGAAATCTGAGAAAACAGTAAAGTTACACTCAAAACCTTTTTCTGATTAAGAAATGTTTCAATTTGATTCCTAGAACTGCGTGACGATCTGTTGTCTGAGTATAAACCAGCCTTTAATCCTACCCCCAGTCCCATAAATGCCTAAAAAAAGAAAAAAGAAATAAAGGATAAATTCGATCCTCGAAACGACTTCACAGTTACAAACCTACTCTTTTTGTAAAAAGTCACAGACAAAAAATACCATAAAGGCTTTTTTTCGTTTTTACTGTTCAAGATATTTTTACATTTTCATTAGTTATAAAAATAGAATAAATACATACAATATAAAATACATCTGAATATAATCATTTCTTGCATCAACTTCACTCAGATTCCATAGAGGATGATATAATCACTGTAATTTGACTCTTTTGGTTTATCCAGATAGCCGGTTATCGCTTTTAGACTTTCAGGTCGTACTTTTTCAGCTCTTTGCTCTAAAAAGCCAAACTTCAGTTTCAAATGACCACGCCTCAAACGGATCTATGGAACATAATGAACACTGATTGTATTATCTTGTTTGAAAAAGTATTGAATCCAGATATTGTGATCATCTCTAGATAACGCCACCAAACTGTTTCATCTTAAAGATGTTTGACTGGAGTTGTGTGTGTTTTCAGTTGTACACGGCATATCTGGAGAGCCAGGAGCAGCTGCAGTTGGAGCGACTGGAGAACAAGCGTGTCAACAAGTATCTGGATGACATTGTGCAGGAGGTCGAAGCAAAAGCCCCCATCCTCAAACGGCAGAGGGACGAGCATGAGCGCATGCAGAAGTCGGTGACCAGTCTGTCGGCCAAACTGGAGCAGGCTGTTAAGGTAGGCGATGTTGGCCAGTTCTAGATCTTTGGGGGTTTACTGCTACCTCCAATTGGATAACTTTACCTTGATTTTATTACAGCAATTTAGAAAAGATTAGAATAGAAAATCCCCTTATTGTCCCACAATGGGGTAATTATGGTGTTTACAGCAGTATAAGGAAGGTGAAGAGTTAAAAGATAAACAATTAAAAATACTGTACTGTAAAGTGTTTAACAATATAAAAACTGTGCACCTGGAGAATAAATATCCAACATAAAGCTATGGACATTTTTACCGCAATAGATATTTAATAATAGCAGCAACATCAGAGATGTGAAAAATGACAGCAGCATGTTATTTAACTGACTACGATAGAAACTGCAAATTCAGCATGAATGCAACAACTTATTGAGGTTGTTGGGAACAGTGGTGGTTATAGAGTCGTGCAGCTGCTTGGAGGAAGGCTCTGTGATGACGCTCCCTGGTGCATTTAAGCCGGGCATACACTGCTATTTTTATTTTATTTTTTTCCAGTTGTTGCAAACAGTTACAGCTCACATTGTAAGACGAAACCTCAGAATTTAAAAGTTCACAGCTAACAATGTATGTTCTCATTCTGTGAGACCCGACTACCTGAGGCAATCTACCTGCTCACAATGTACGTCTAATAACGTTGGACTCTGCTCCGCAGTGAGATGGCACTAATCGGACTCGTCTATCCGGAAGCCAAACGAGTAAAAGAGGAATATGAAGCTCACTAGAGTGAAACGCTGCCATAGCAATTTGTGCAATTTTGTGCTGAAAGCCCTAAAAAGAAAAGGCAACAACGTATTTGGACAAAGATGGCTAAGAAAACGTAAAAGAAGAGTCGTTGTTTACACACAGAGCGATTTGCCCACGACGGCCGATTGAATTTCTTCCTACCTCACGATTCCTGATAGGCAGGTGGTTTGAGAGGTTGATCGCCTCTCGTTACCCCCGTACACTACATGACGCACGATCAGGGTGAAAGTCGGACCAAAAAGGGCAAAAAGTTGCACAGTGTAAGCCCGGCTTTAGGGTACAGCAGTCTGTCACTGAAGGAGCTCTCCAGTTTTGCAACAGCTTCATGCATGGGGTGGGGAGACCCAACAGAGATGTTAATTTGCTGATATCAAATTGATTTTTAAAAACACGGTATCTATCTATTTTACTTTCAAAATCTCGTGAAATTTCATCGTTCTGTTACAAACTCTCATGATATTTTGCAAATTTGTGAGATTTTGTTAGTAAAATAGATCGATACCGCGTCAATATATCAACATATAAAAATGGCAAAATTTCGTGAATTTTCGGGGGATTTCGTAGCATAACGATGACATATAGCAATATTTCATTAGTAAAAGAGATTGATATGGTGTTTTTAAATGGCAATATATCAGCATATGAAGATATTGTGATATTTTAATGTATCAATATTTTTCCCCTCGTCTTTAGAAGTTTTTAAGTCTGTAAAAACGTTTTTGAGGAAGAACTAGTATTTTTTTTTTTTTTTTTTTTTTTTTTTTTTTTAGACTTTAGAAACTCAGAAGCTGATCAAATATCGGATTAAATATCGGTGTGGTGGCCGATGTCCGATATTCAGTTTTAAGGCCGATACCGATAAGGGGCCGATTATATTGTGCATCCCTAGTAAAAACAGCCATTCCGCCAATTAAATAATAAAGAATAAAAAATCAACTAAGCAGTATGATTGGCCTAAAATATTATCACTACCATGTTCTACTGGTTTTGTTTTTATGAAAAGTAGGAATCGGTCGTTTTCATGGAATGCCTGAGATTTACACACTCAGGCTGTGGGGTTCTTAGCTTTTGTTTGTAGCCTGTCACCTTGCTCTGATCGTATTTTGCTTCTACTAAACATTGAAAATATTAAAGATACATGACTGTATAGTAGGATAATGTTTTTACTTACCAATCTAATAATAAATTAAAGAAAAGGTAAACCGTTTTAGGGCTGCAACAACGAATCGATAAAATCGACTTTTAAAAGCGTTGGCAACGAATTTCATCATCGATTAGTTGTGTCGCGCGATTAATGCATCATCCGCCACCGCCGTCATCACATCCACTTGACTGAAGCGGGGAAGAAGAAAAAATACGGCAGAGCGAGCCAGCGCTGCAGGTGCAGTGTTGCCAACTCAGCGACTTTTCAGACCCCTCCAGCGACTATTTTTCAAAAAAAGTCGCTTTTTACGGTGTCACTGGCGGCTTTTGGAGACTCTTACGTGAAAGCATGTATCGTTCCTACTCTGCCGTGGGGCGCCTCCCCCCGCTCCCGCAGGAGTCCCTCTCAGCGCTGCAGTCAGAGCAGCAGGATGTTTACCCTCAGCGTCCAGACTGCAAATGAAGCGCGCATGCGCCGGGATTGACGGCGCAAATTGATCACAATAATTAAAATAGCCTGCTCTTTGTAAAGTGAAAAAAGTCGTAACATGCAACTTTTGTCAAAACAAATTAACATGGCACGGAACCACCATGTTTGTTTGGTTTTAAAATGGGGAAACTTAACGTTAGTTTCTCAGGTAGCTCATCTGATGCTTTCCTTACCGTGTTAGTAGGTTACAGACTGATAAGGTTGGCTACTTATTTTACTTTTAATTTCATTTGAATTAGCTTAAGCAGCGTTTATATTTTCTTTATAAATAAATTAACTTGCAAATTATGAGGGCAAGGCTTTTAAAGTTTAAATCTTCTGGCAAAAATAAAGTAAAGATCCTGCAATTTATGGAAGTAAAGCATAAAATCCAGCAAGATCAGTAATATGTCAATTAATTATCTGCCACATTCCCATGTAAATATCTGTCTTTGGAGGATGTGTTTTTTAGCACCCCTAGTTCTCTCATTTTTATTCCAAATACAATTTATAATATGAATCACAGGGCTATTTTTATCTCTATGGTTCAGTATTTTCTCAAGCAGCAACTTTAACTGCTATACTTTCCTGTCTTAAAAGGCAGAACTCTTCTAGTCTAAAAAAAACTCATTTGTTGAAATGGGGGGGCCTATTGTTTGAACCCCTTAGGGGCTTTTAAAAAAAAAAAAAAGTCTTTTTTTGCGCTTTATGAAACAAAGTACCCTATATTTTGTGGTAATCAGCTACATTTCTCATGTAAGTTTGCGTAGTTTTAACACAAACATTTATTTTTCATATTGCACCAGTACAGTTAATGAGCAACCTGTACTTGTGTACTTGTTTGTTCTGTCTAAAATGTTTATTTTGGAATAAAGAGGTTAATATAAAAAAAAATTTTTTGTCCGATTCATCGATTAATCGAAAAAATAATCGGCCGATTCATCGATTTTTAAAATAATCGTTAGTTGCAGCCCTAAACCTTTTTACATCCGGTTTCATCTTTCAGCCAGTTTTCTTCTTTAAGCCTCCTCAGTAGGTTTAAACTTTTTCCTTGCCTCAGCCATGACCACTAGTCGACCAGGCGGAAAAATAGTAGAGCAAAAGCCTTAGCTCCATTACAATATAGGAGTCTGTGACTGTAAAGCGATATGTTCTTCGAGGTCATGTGACCTGGCCAATTCCCAAGTTACATAGTCAGTATTTCAAAAGTGAAGCATAACTCGTAGCATTGATGATGTCAAGTGCTGTATATTGGCCTGAGAAATCATTTAAAATAACTCGTATGCGTGAACTCTTTAGGTCACAAAGTCCACGGTGTGTCTTTAAAGAATGAAAAAAGTTTATTGATCTTCTTTCGTCGACTTCGATCAAGATGGTTAATTGCTAAACAGCAATGTTCTTAAAAATCTGGGTTTTCTCTTGAATCAAGAGGATATTTCATAAAATGAAGGGCTTAATATTTTTTACAGTAAATAAAAGAAGCACATCATTAAGTTGTAATTATTTAGCTGTTAAAAACCAAGCTGTGTTATAACTGAATAAACAAAATAATGTCTTGTTATACATAATTAAACTATACATATTTATAAGATATAACTTAACAGGAATCTGTTGGGATACTGAATACAAAAAGATGAATAAAATACATGAAATGCATGATTTTTAATGTATTTTTATTATTAACACAGGTTATAACACTTCGATACGCTGTAAGACTTTGCCACTTTGTTTCACTGATGTAACTAACTGTGATATAGCTCTGATTTTACTGTAATTTGTGATCTAAGCAATGTCTATAAATGACTGACTTATTGCTAGCCGGACTTTTCTATCATTTTACAAATATTTTGCACAGCGCCCTCCCCTCTCTATCATCACATCCTTGCTTTCTAAACACATCAGAGAAGTTGATGCTGCTCCTCCATACACCGTGTCCAAATGGGCTTATTTAGGTGATAACTGAAGTTTATCCAGTGTTTATTTTTATAAAACGAACAACATAAGTTAATTCTGCATCCTCGTTGCCATTAAAAAGTTAATAAATCCAGACCGGATCCTTGAATCATTCATGGTTCCGTTTCAGCATGCCTCCATTCTGGAATAAGTTCTGTTAATGCCTTGAAGGCTCTGCTTAAAAAGCAACATCAGCATCCTCTAGTGGACGGCAGTGCAACATCAAGCAGATATTATCAATTAACTGGATGGAACAAATTTGAAGTTGATAAACCACAAATCAACAATTAATTAGTTGTTTATTTGTTTACATCTCTAATAAGAACTAAAAACCCGAATGGATTTTATTAAAATTGTATATGCTGCACTAACAAAAGAAAGTGGTGCTTATGTGGATTAAAAAAGATACAAGCAGTCACAGTTTTTGCTGATTGAAGAAATCTGCAGCAGCTTTTTGTATTCTGGTTTCATTAGAGATACATTAAAGATACTTCAACCGACAGCAATTTTGGCCAATTTTTTTTTGTGTTTTTCTTTGTTTCTTGGCATTGCCCAATACTGGTCAAAGAATGCTTCGGCCTGATAATAATAATAATAATAATAATAATTGAACTTAATTGCTCTCACATTGGAGAAATTTACCTCTGCATTTTGACCCATCCCTTGGGGAGCATTGGGCTGCCATTGTGCGGCGCCCAGGCAGCAGTCAGGGGTTAAAGGTCTTGTGGAGGAACCCAGAGTGGAGGCTGTTGGGATCGAACCGGGTATTTGCAACCTTCTCAGAGCAGAAGCGCACTGCTCTGATCTCTGTAAAATCATATAAAGCGCATGCATTTCTGTTCCTTCCATTTTTTTTTTTGTCCATTGTTAATGTTTTGTTTGAAAATAAATGTTCTTTTTGTTGTTTTAACTGAGACTAGTGTAACATTTGTTATGATTTTGTCATAATGTAAACTGAGGAGGAAAACTCAATATCAGCTTAAAAGATAAGTAATAAGCTGCACATATCAGGGATTGGTAGACCAATGTCAAAATATTCACACCCCGTGAGAATAAACCTGTGTACTAATTAAGTGCGGACGTTTGCTTGAAGCACAGATTCCCTCTGCATAGCTGTTCTTCATATAGGCCATTCTAGTTTGGGTTTTATGCACCTTGAGCTTTGCCTCCTGTAGAGCTCGGTGCAGGCTGCAAGTGGAAGAAAATTTAAGCAGACTTTTGATTTGAAGAAAAAAAAACATGAACCTTTTTTCCTTCCACAATTGCTCTCTTTTGTCTGTCACATTAAATCTCAAATTAAGTTATTGGAAAATGTATGTAAATGTGGGGAAAAAAAATACCTCTAGGGTTTGTATTTCTGTTAGCAGTCCCTTAAAGTTTTTGGTACTACGTGTTTTTTGCAGGAAGTTGACCGTCTGCAGAACGAGGCTGATGAAGCTAATAAGAAATCCACTGTCCTGGAAAGAGACAATCAGAGACTTGAACTCCAGGTGGCTGACCTGGCCAAACAGGTTGGTTTCAGCTCATTATGACCGCTTGGAGATAAAATCATTCCATTCTAGAAAATTCAGCCAAATGCTTCATTCATTCTGTCAGGTCCAAGTGCTGCTCATTGAGCTGGAAGAGGCCCGTGGGAACCACGTGCTTCAGGAGGAGGAGGTGAGCTCAGCTGACATCAGCAGCACATCAGAGGTGATCAGCCAACACTTGGTGACGTTCCGCAGTGTGGAGGAGCTCCAGAAGCAGAACCAGAGACTTCTTGTGGCCCTTAGGGACCTAAGCGCGGCCCAAGAGATAGAAGAGCAGGAAAGCACTGGCAATAAGTACGTCTCATGTTCTGATTCCTTTTGATTTCTTTTTCCTTAACATCTTGATAGCTGCAGGAAAAAACAAAATATGACTTAATTGACATTTTTTGACTGTTAAAGTCGTGTGGAGCTGGAAATGAGTTTGGCGAGGGCCCAGGCTGAGTTGGAGTCCCTGAAAGAGCAGCGCAGCCAGCAGATTAAGATGGCAGAATCCATCGTGAGGCAGAGGGACATGTACCGCATGCTGCTGGCCCAGGCTACAGGAGGGGCCTTCCCTCAACAAGGTGAGGGCGTCCTTAGAAAACATGTTTGAATGGACATTTTAGTTTGACTGGATTTCTGTGTCTGAGTTCATGGTTGCTCGATGTTTAGGAACATCAGTGGAGGAGTTTTCTTTGACTTCTACCCCTCGGCGTTCACCGGCAACCACTCCCACCACAGGAACTCCCACTGCACTCGGGGCTATGATGGAGTCTGCTGAGGCACTGGAGGCAAAGGCAGCTTTGCGACAGGTGATTGCAAAGCTCTTTTTTTTTTTTTTTTTTTTTATCAGAATAAAATAAGTGTTTATTTTACTATCATAACATTATTGGATTGATTTAAATCTGTGTTGGATCCTTTAGCTTAAACTGTTATAAGTATGACAGATATCCCTGTAAGCGAATGGAAACATTCTGCTTTTAAAACTGATCTATAGATCACTCCAACATGACGTCACTTCCAGTGTAGTTTTTAGCAAATTTTAAGTGAAAGAAAAAGGCCATGCAGAAAAGATGGAGACTGAAGGCTAAGGTTTTAGGTTTTATTAGGACGATCAGATAGTTCAGTTTGATATGCTAGTTTTTAGTTCTAAATTTAAAAACACCAAAATAGACCCTCAATACTTAATGCCAAATTTAAATGCAAGTTCATGGTTGTGTATTTCAATCTTGTAAAATATAAATGCAACTGAGAAAAAAGTTTTGTCTAAATTTTGTAAAAAACAAAGCATTTGGCTCAGTTCTGCAATAGCTTTAGGATGCCACCAGATGGCGCTACTCACACTAGACATTTCCATACAAGCTGTTTCATGATCTAATTTTTTTTTTTTTTTTTTTATCTTTCACATGCAAGGAATCACTAAACCTCTAGTAAAAAATTTCTTTACGTCTTATTTGATGCAACTTTTTTTTTATTTTTATGTAAAAGCATCAAAGAACTGTTGCAAATTGCCTTCTTAGAACCCTCTCATAATATAACTTTGATTTGAAGAATCATCAAATGACTGAAGTCCCGGATGTATTATAATTTTGTTATTGCACTTAAAAAAAAAATAAAAAAAAAATCTGTCTAGAAAAGTAAATCAATTTGTCTGATTTTATGTATAGTTGCAGGAAGTGTTCTCAGCCTATAAGAAGGAGCGGCTGGAGAGCGATAAGATGATGAACGAACAGAACGAGAAGCTCCAAGAGCAGCTCTCTGACCTCCGCTCTCAAAATGCCAAAATATCAACTCAGCTAGAGTTTGCATCAAAAAGGTAAAGATTCACAGAACGCAGCAAATCTACTTTGTATCTGCAAGAACTTTGCTCTCATGACTTTTCTCTAAACCTTCAGGTATGAGATGCTGCAGGATAATGTGGAGGGCTACAGGAAAGAGATTGCTTCCCTTCGGGAGAAAGAACAGAAGATGGCTGCTTCCTCACAGAAACTAGAGCAGACTGTCCACACGTTGAGAGAGGATCTGAAGGCTGTGAACGAGGAACTCTCCATGACTAAGGTTTACCAGCCTGCTAAAGCCTGCATACCCCATAAGTTGACATTTAAAAACACAAACCTTCCTCTCACACGTTTATGCTTCCTAATACAAGACTGGCCATGAATTTCTGATGGTTATTTGTGACTCTCTTCACATTTTGTTGCATCGTAGGACTTGTCGACATATTCTACCACCTGGACTGTAAATCTCTGCAGGTTTTCCAGAATTACCATAAATCTCCCTATCCCTGCTCTGACAAATCCTCTTTACCTGCTCTGATGGTTCACAGTTAAACCAAACTCCATTTTCAAATGAAGCGCTGAAGCTTTTTGATCTGTTTTAAACTACTATTCATCTGTTTCTTGGTCTTTAAAACCTCAGAGGCCATGCAGAACAATGGGATTTATACTGAGATCAAATTTTGGGCCGAAACAATCAGTTTAGTCGTGATTGATTAATTATTGGGAGGAAGCCTCGTGGAAGGCCCAGGACACGCTGGAGGGACGAAATCTCTGAGCTGGCCTGGTGTCGCCTCGGGGTCCCACCAGAGCAGCTGCAGGAGGTGTGTGTGGATCGGGAAGTCTGGGTATCTCTGCTTAAAATCCTCCCTCCACGACCCCGCCCAGGATTAAGCGGATTGATTATTGAAATAATCAACTTAGTTGTTGATTTAGTAATGGATTAATCATTAACTTGAGCATAGAGACTCTAAAACTAGCCTTTAGCTGAAAGAGAAGCACACTCAAAACAAAAATAACAAAATGTAAAAAAAAAAAAAAAAATTATTATATTTTTAGCAAAATAGTTGCTTGTTAAATTACACACAGTGTTTACTTATCGACTAAACTCTAAATAGTATTGATTCTTCTACATAAAATGAGAGTAATTGGAATATAAAGAAGTGAATTGATGTAAATGTCTCATTTTTAGGCTTTTTTTTTGGTGAAACATGTTGAAAAAACATAAATTGACTAATTTTTAACTTCAAGGCTTTGAAGGCTTGAAAGTCGCTGTCTCTTAGCTGAATCAAGCTGCCAGAAGAGATCCTCATTCTTGACTTTAACTTGTCCTTTAGGGTCAGGTTGAGAACCTGCGCAAGGAGAGAGACATGCTGAAGCTGGTGGAATCCAGGCTGACCCAGGAGAAGGAGGCGACCATGAGCCAGCAGCAGAGTCAGAACCTGCTGCTGAATAATCTTCAGGCCATACAAGTAATTTAACATTTCAGTTTACCTGCAGATTGTAAGAGACAGGTAACTGAAGCTCAAAATGCTGACTCTTCTGCACCGCAGGCCACGCTGGAGCGGTCCGAAGCCGATGCACGTCAGCGTCTGAACAGCCAGATTGAAAAACAAGAGCAGCAGATCTCCCAGCTTCAGAAGAGGCTTGAGCAGGAAGTGGAACAGCGCCATCTAAACAACAGGAACCAAGAGGTAGATCTAACATTGAAGCTCTTCACATTAACGAAAAATTGAAGTTAGATTTTAAACATGGAGCCTTAACAGAGGCATTTATGTGTTTAATATGAGCAGATCCAGCTGCTAGATGTCAAGAGGCAGTTAGAAACTCAAGTAGCCCTTCATCAGAAAACAAAGGACCTGCTGAATGCTGCTGAGCTGGAGCTCAACACTCTGAAGATGCAGCAAGGCCATCCTGAAGCACGTCTTACCCTGAGCTCTCCGTCCACACCCATCAGAGGTCAGCTGGAATGCTTTTAACCAAAAATATGTAGAACTTTCAAGATGTTTGAATGTGCGTGCAAACAATGTCGTACAGCTTTATTGCCATGGTTTAACCCATCTTTGAAGTGTTTCAGCCACAAGACAAACATGTGGAATAGTTTTTCCTTTTGCCTCGGCGCACACACCTCCAAACTGTTCTGCTCTGTTCCAGGCCTGCAGGGTTCGGATCAAGAAAGGGAGGAGCTCAAAGGCCGCCTGCAGCTGGCCGAAACCCGAGCGGAGGAGCTGGCAGAGAGCCTCAGGGCTGCCACCTCCAGCATGGAGCAGTACAGAGCCATGGCCCAGAGCTTAGAGCAGTCCCTGGAGACGGAGAAACAGGTCAGGAGGCGTCTAGACAGGTTTATGGCTCTCTAAGATTATAAAGGGTTAACATGCCTGTCACCTGTAAACCAATAACTTTCTGGAGGTTTTAAACTTTTACCTTTTTACACTAAAACAGAAATGCGATGGAAAAGCAGCAATAACGGAAACAGAGATTTTATTAGTGAGCGTTGTATATTTTGGGAAATAAAGCAGAATAAAACACATTATGACAAGACTTCTGTTATTACCATTATGAGTTAGTACTGATGTATCAAAGAAAAGGATAAAATACCAATAATGATCTTTTTAAGACAAAAGTTTGACTTTTCATGGTTCTTGGAGAGCCAGCACATAGAATGAAGCAGATCAACTCAATCAAAGTGAATTTTCTAACAGCTACATCAATGTCTGCTTTGTGCCAGGTAACAGAGCAGGCCCGACTGTCAGTTGAAGCTTGTTTTAAGGAGGCAGAGGAGCAGCGGCGGACGCTGGAGGAGAAGCTCCTGGAAGCAGAAAAGCAAAAGGAGGCTTTAGAGGAGCAGAAGAGAAAAGACCTCTCATCTTTGGAGGAGCAGGTACAAAATCCACCTTTATCAGCCTGTGGAGATCACATATATAATGGCTTTGAGTTGTTGTTTGTTCACTATTTAATAACTGATTAGCTCACTGACATCCTTTGTTGCTTGTTAGATGAATGATGTGAAGAGAAGTCTCAGCAGTGCCCAGGCAGATCATGAGGCAGTGCTCCAGGAGCTGGCTGTAGCTAAAACCCAGTTGCAGCAGACTCTTCAGGACAGCCAGGAGCAGGTAAGCAGATCAGCAACCAGTGAGAAAAAGGAGCAGCGCATGAACCGAACGCAACATGCGCGAACCGAACCGAGACAGTCGAACCGAACGGTTCGGGCGGGTTACATAAACCGTTCCATCCCTAGTCTCTTAAAATATTTTGATTAAAAATTATTTTTGTTTTATTTGTCTAACTCGAGTAACATTATTAAACTTAGATGTTTCTTTTGACTACAATTTCTTATTCTACAAAATAAATTGCAGAAGTGATGATGTCACAAAGAACCATACTAGTGGAGCATCATAATTGAGAGTAAAGATATTTAAAGAAGCAGAAAAGGAGACTATTTTAAAATATTTCTTACATTCTACATACTGCTACAAGAATGTTTTTTTTTTTTTTTATTGTTATGATACCCAGTAAGAGATATATATCAATACCCTTGCAACAGCCCTGGATAATAATCCTGCTATAAAAAAAAGAAAAAGACTTCAACTCACATGTGGATGCATTTTATATACCGTACATACCCCATGCACCTTTCTCTTCCTTTCGCACCTTCTTCTCTTTTTGACTATTTGAACTGTACATAACAAGTACATTTCTCCACTATGAGATCATTAAAGTCAATCAATCAATTCTGTCTTCCCAGTTTTAACATGAATTAGGGCTGGGC